CCTTTGTATAGTTATGTTTGTCAATAATTACGTCCTTGCTTATAATGACTTTTGACTTTGTAAGTCCCAAAATCCAATATCCTTTAGAAGTATCTGAATAATAAAAAAAAAAAATCGAATATGAGTCTTAAGATTTAATTTACTGTACAAGTGATGAAAAATATGAGTATAAACTTTACAATCAAATGGATTCATATGAACTAGTGATGGCTTTGTTCTTATATAAGTCTCAGAAGATGTCATATTTAAATTTAATTGTGAATAAGTATGATTCAATGTGTATAAAATGTTATCCACTACCTTTGCCTACAATGAAAGGTTAATTTTTACATAGTAGATCATATTACAAACTACCTCTATAATTATTCTATTGTCTCATGTAGAAATAGCATTTTGTTGTAGAGTGTAGGGAACAATAAGTTCATGCTTAATTCCTTGTACAGGAAGAAAATTGATAAAGCTTATGTTAAAAAATTTGCCAACATTGTCGATTTTCAAAATAAATATTTGATGACTAGTGTCTCAAAGAATAGTCTTGGATACTTACTGAAAATATTTGAGAGCCATCCAAATGACTTCTATACAATAAAGTATTATAGGCTCAAGTAATTTTAGAAAATAGAAAATCTATTGAAGATTGATCATATTCATGAGGATTAATATCATCATGATTATCAGCATCAGAGATCATATTATACTACTCCATATTGAGAAATGATTGTTTTTAATAAAAATCTAGATATAAAGAATCCAATGAGTTATCAAATGTAGCTTGAGTATGAAAACCAATTCATGAAGAATGAGATCAATATATATATATATATATATATATGTACCTACTACTAATGCCCAAGAAGACCACAATGATTATATTTAGTCTTATATTTAAGTTCTACAATTTCAGTGTTTCTATTCAGTTGAAAATGAGACACATGATTACGATAAGAAGAAGATATTGGTAGCTTGAGAAGAGTTCTATGAAATTGAGATAAAAGTCCATTAAGATTGTACATAACAAGAGAAGAAAAAGATTTATTATAAGAATTATTAATAGGCATAGAAGTAGAGAAACCATATGGATAGAAACTCCCATTGTTTGGTGAAGTTTTAGAATTTCTAGCAATAGAAAAACATTGACGGTTAATGTATAATACTTTGGAATCAGAAATAGAATCTTATTGTATGTGATATAATATCTTCTTTTCTTCCTTCTGTAATTTAAGCTTAAGATTAGCAAGATTGCAATCATCTTTAAAAGTATTCTTCCATGCAATAACAAAAAAATCAAATCCAACAGGTAAATTAGTTGTAAGCTTTGATATCATGAAAGCATTGGAGAAATTTGTATTACCTAACTCTTAAAGTTCATTCATAGTGAGTTCAAGCTTTGCAATAAAGTTAGATATAGATTGACCTTGTTCTAATTTTACATCAAAAAATTGACATTGTAGAAAATGAATATTCTTACTATTTTTGCATTCATGCTCTTCAAGAGGACGATCCCAAACATCTTGAGCTGTTAAACAAGTAGTCAAAGGAACAAGAAATTGTCTCTCAATCGATGAAGTAAGAGGAGTATAAGCATTGTAATTTTTTTCTTTCTACTTGTCACTGTGTAATTTATTTTTATCCAAACCATCAATGTGTTGAATGAAACCTTTTGCACTAAAGAGATTTCAAGTTGCCATTTTTAGAGATGAAACTAAGAACCATTGAAATGTTGAATAGCAATTAAATCCTTTGCAATTGACATTTTTTTTTTATCAGAGTAAGAAAGAACAGAGAAATGAATGATGAAAAATTCCATTGAAAGAGAACCCTAAAAGAAATCAAGAAAATGCATCCAGCATTTCAGCAAGACAGCAATCAGCAATACATTTACTCATAGGCAGGTTAGAAGACTAGGGCCCATAACCTTTTGTTTCAATACTAAGAGCTCATCACTTAAAACACAAACATCAGGGTGTAAAACCTTTCTTTATTTTAGAATTCATATTTATTTATATCTTGAAGAGAAGTTTTACTTTTAACTAGTAAGTCACTAGTTACTAAAATATCTGTGTGTTCAGTGATGAGTTGTGCGTACTGAAACAAAATGTTGTACACGGGACTCTTCAGTTGAGGTCTAGTGGAATGATTGATGATTTGTAACGAAAAAAATTCAGATTGCACAAGCCCTGTGGCACAGCTGCCAAGCTCGACTATGCGTTCAGGAGTACGACACACAGCATCCTACTCAGGCAAGCACCTCGGGCGGAGGTGACCGAAGGCTGGTAAATGCTGAATGTTGTCTTTCGAGTTATATACGGCGTTTAGCTGGCCACTGCGTCGCAGAAACGCGCAACCTTGCTGGAAATAGCATTGGCCACCAATGGCCGCGGGAAAAAGTATCTGTGAAGGGTATCCAACGAACCCCTTGCTTGTGACATATGTCACAACTTTTTCATGTGCAATTCAAATGATAACTTTGCGAAAGCAGAAAAGTATATCGTAGAGCATAGAAAGAAAAACATTAATAAAAGAAAACTAAATATGAACATAATTTCTTGCATTCATTTTTTTAAGTATTACGTTAGTTATACAGTAGAATCTGGAGAACGTCTTGTTTTTGTTAGCCTATAGTTTTCAAGTGCTCACCCCCAATTTGTGCAACCATTGAATCCGATTCGATTGTGAAACCCAAACAGAACCAATGGCATGGATTTTTTTCTTCACAACAGTTACGACAAATGTATTCATGCCGTAAAGAGAAGACAGATGTCGCCGAGCCCCACGAACATCCGCTTGAACTGCGGTTCTCATCGATCATTTGATTGATTGCAAAAGTTGCAAAATGCCAATAACAAACAAAACTTTCGGAGAAGAAAAGCTGCTTCCATAATAATGGTAGATGGATGGACAATTAAGTCCCGCATACTCACACCATCAGTCGCTGGAATTGCGGTAATTCATAACTTCCTCAAAAACGCATATTTCAGTATTTTTCAGTGGAGTCGGGTTCCTTTCTGCTTTAATTTAAAGTGGCGAAAATTCAAGTTACTTGAAGTACCCAGAAATAGCGTGCATAATGCTGATTGCACCAATATAAGTCCCCTCACTGCACAAGTTCTTTATGCCGAATTTCGTGACGCGGGCACAACGACAGAAGACAGCCTTTGCCCGATCATCTTCTTCGGCAGGATGTGCAGATTGGGGCCTCCCACGATACAGTCAACAGGTTTGTTTCTTCTCAGAAGTCAACCGCACCTGTTCTGACCACCCAAGATCTTGTGGCATCGCCATCGCCATCGCCATCGCTATTCGAAGAGAAGACTAGAAAATCCACCTGCAGACATTCTGCGGTAACTCCCGAAGGCACACCGGGATATTTATCCTGTTTTTGAAGTGCCGGGCACGTCATGTGGTTTCAAGGACTCGAGTCCTTCGGGAGGTTTTCCTGCCTCGACACTGGACGGATCAAAACCGTGCCATCGCAACGCTCTGTTTGAATTCTCAGATAATGTTTGATCATGGAAAGAGATCCACCGCTGCGTCGGTCATGCAGTTTGCACCATGGGCACATAGCTCCAGCCCTTGTTTGAATAATCTCCATATCTTTGCGGTTGGTTTGAGTCTTGTCGAAGGGTTCACATCACAGCTGCATCGTTGTCACAAGCTAGTGAACAAAACATGTTGAAGTGTTCGCAAACTGCAGCACACTTTCAGTCAGCTAGAATCGCCGACAGTAGTGGAGTAACATCGTCGTAGTCATCTCGAAAGCCATGGCATTTACTGTGGATAGGACAGCGCAGAGTGATTACACAATCTCCCTTGAAGAAAATAAGATGTAAGAGATGTGAGAGATGTGAGACGTGTCGTCTGTTTTCTAATCAAATCCACGCCTCAGCTCAAAGGTCAATGTTAATCTGAATCTGATAAAGCGAAATACGAAGCACTTGTGAGTTATCTACTGTAATCATTCTAATTAACTTGATATTTGGAAAAAAATATTAATTTTTAATCCTGAAAATCGTATTTTGCACTAGTTTTCAAAATTACAATTCAAGAGTTATTAGATAAATTGTATGACAGTAATAATAAAACATCGATATTTATCTTTCTTTCAAAAAGAAATACAATTCACACTAACCTTCATGAAATTTTACCAGAAACATTACTGATATATATATATATATATATATATATGAAAGAAATGTTTTGACTAAAAAGAAACACTTGCAAAAGCCATTTTCAGGTTTAAGTTTGACTCTCATACTAATAACTTCTGTGTTGATGGAGAAGTACGTATGAAAACAAGAATAAATATAATCAGTAAATTAATAATTACAAAACTACATCAAAAGAAGAAACTTGACCGACTAATTCACATGCATATTTATCATTCATGCGCCGAGAGAAACCTCGTTGTGGGTCACAGTCATGATTTTGGTTCCTGTCCAACGTAACCAGATATTTCTTTTCATTAATCACCGTGACCTCGATTGATGAGTTTCAGTTCAATGTTGTGGAGAGCTGGCCCGTGCCAGGTTACGCAGCGCAAGGTGGACCCGACAAAGGCCTCAGTCTAATCGTAAAGAAAAGTAAGCGTATTCCACATTAAGCCCACACAATCTCAATCGCAAAAGAGATATCGACTGCTGTGCTGTGAGCTGGAAGATTCTTACAGGGACTTTTCTTTCATTCAATGCAATCTAAAGTCCCAGAAGTTTCGAACAAGATTTACATTCAGTAAACTTTCATCAAATTCATTTGTGTCAGCCGAACGAGAACAGAGAACTCAGCAACACTTGTTTACTTTTCCGCAATCGTGAGGTTTCGACCTCACTGGACAGTTCTCAAACGAGTAAACGTTCATATGTCACGCGGAATCGCAAAAAGACAGCCAATGCAAACAATTTCTCAGCGATTCATCCGGGCAGGCATGCAATGGCATCCTGTCTAGAGGAAAATCGGCCGCGTTGCCCATCAAACCCGACGTCCGAAATGACACCCACCGCTGTCCGCAATCCTACAAGTACTCTCACCCTGCACCCTATCTGCAGCAGTAGTTGTGTCACTCTCCAGTAACCAACCAGCGCAGTCAGCGCCCATTCTTTTGATAGCACGCTCTGCTGCAAACTGTCTATTGTGTAGTGCAGCAGCAAACTGTTCACTGATCAGCATATTAGCAACCAAACGTTATCCCTTTATCTCCAAGGGGTTCGAATCATCTGACTACGAGCATTGTCACCTAGAGAACTTAAGGTATTCTTCGCTATTGTTCAACGGAGGAATTTCTTGCTGGGCGAAGAAGTGCGTTCACTCCAGAAATGGGGTTCAATAGAGGGTTGCAATGCGCTCTGCCGATTTTGCTGCTGCTGTGTTGCCACGCGATGGTCGGCAGTCACGCTCAACCGGTCCGTAGCAGGTTCAATGCGTGGACCCCGAACACAGAGTTCCCGACTGATACTCAAATCCGCCTCACCTTGGACAGACAAAACTTCGCTGGAGCTGGATCCAAGGAGTCCTTCTTATATGCCGAAATCAGTGCGTGGATCAAGTGTCCCCCGTTCGACTCCGCGGGCACCGTGACGACGTTCTACTTGTCGTCCTCGGGACCCGAGCATTGCGAGCTGGACATGGAGTTTCTGGGGAACTCGACTGGGCAGCCGTTCATTCTGCACACCAACGTGTTCGTGGGCGGGAAGGGCGAGCGCGAGCAACAGATGTACCTGGGGTTCGACCCATCTGCGGAATTCCACTTGTACACCTTCCGGTGGACCAAGGACTCGGTGCTGTTCCTGGTGGACGGGGCCGTCGTGCGGGTGTTCAAGAACCTGGAAGGACAAGTGCCGGGGTTCAAGTACCTGAAGGATCAGGCGATGATGGTGTACGTGAGCATCTGGGACGGCAGCCAGTGGGCTACTCAGGGAGGGAGGGTGAAGATCAACTATGACTCGGCTCCCTTCGTGGCGCACTACGACTACTTCGGGCTGAATGGGTGCACGGTGGACCCGAATGATGCAGCGAATGGAGTGGCAGCGTGCCAGTACAGTCCGTATGCGACGGGACAGAACAATGGGAACAGCAACCCACAGCCCTCGACAACGACGACGATGCTGTACGACTACTGCTATGACACGAACAGGAACCCGACGCCGCCACCAGAATGCGCGTACAACAAGGTAGAGTAGAGTAGAGGAGTGCAGATCAGAGCAGCCCATGTGGGGATTGGGGATTCTTCGATGAGTGGGCGTAGGGGGGCAGCATTTGCAGAGTAGGGCGGAGGAGTTGTAAGTGTGTGGAATTGGGGAGTGTATTGATACATTGTTCTTGAATAAAAGTGGAACCGTTGGGGCTGCAATTGATGACACAACGCGTGGTTTGGGTGGAGACGATGTGTGAGGTGGAGTTGTGGAATGTGATACAGTAGAACGGGGTCGGTGGCTCAGAGAAAGAGGGGTTGGGCTCGATGAATGTTGTGACCTGAGCAGCTTCGCGGGCCGGTAGATTGATGTATGCCAAGCGAGAGTGTGCGGAGGATGGACAGGGCTCCATGAAGCGTTGTCACGGATGTAGGAGATCGGTGGAGAAATGGAGCGTGAGAAGATTGACGATGGGCCGGCGTCGAGCACGATCCCGAAAGGATGTGGACGATGAAGTGTTGGTGGGACTGGTACGGTATGAGAGCATCGTGTGGGGATGCGCGGTGCATCGTGATGTGTTCGGAGCGGTGATGAGATGCTTTGAATTGCGGGTGATGTGGTCGTGTGACACAGAGGAGGATGTGTGGAGGCAGTGTGCATGGTTGCTGTCGCAGAAGAGGCGGGATTGAAGGGTGTGGAGCAGTATGAAGTTTGGAAGGAGCCTGTGAAGATGATGTATGATGAGACGATTGATGAAAAAGCCAGTAGCGTAGCTGACGTTTGAAGCGATCGACAACAGTGCACAACTGATGGGGATCGCTGTGACTATGAACAATTTTCTTTTGCAATAATGTGTGGTACATTGCATGCATTTTGTAGTACACATGTATATTGCGAATGATGGCCTTGAAGATCTTGTTTCCTTCTTTCAATGTATTTTAAGGATCTTAACACCTTCCTTTTTGCCTACAATCAAGTTTTTGTTTGTGTTTTGTTTTGTTATTGTCAACTTCGCATTCCTAAATACTTATAATTTTTTAAAACTATGGGGGATGTGAAATCATCATTAGCAGCTTGTAGTATGTCACTTCTGGTAGAGTTACTGAAAGCATGTCCTCAAGTGTAAAGTGAACTTGTGGATGTAGATTTGGTATTGTGTAAGAGCATGATATTGTGAATTATATATGCCTTTTAATCACAATAGTATGTTTGGTGTGAATCTTGGTCCATTCTATAGTTTTTCTGGTTGATATATGTGGCGAAAAAAACATTTTTATTGGAATATCTAACAATATGAGACATATGGTGTGTTGCTTTTAAAGTCAATACATCTAAAAAGTACCTTTTAATTTACGAAATTTTAACATATTTTTTGAATGACTTATATACATGCACTAATAATATTTTAGTATATTCTTTATAAATTTTTTATTTACCCTTAAAATAAAATATTAAAAAAATTAAAATTCTTATATTATTATAATTATTATTTTTAGTATCCTTCAAACCATATTATATTCTTAATTGTATTATTTTTTAATTTCATGTCTAAATATTTAGATGTTATAGTTATTTCTATAAATAGGTAATATAATTTAAAGATAATAATGATTTAAATTTTATTGTAAAAGAGAGTCTTTTAGAATAATATCAAATTATTAGCTAAAATACTTATATTTTAAAAAATTGAATTAAGTCAAAAAAATTAGAATTTAAATGACTTTTAACTATTGAAAATTTGATTATAAGATGGAATACAAAAGAATTCTAAAACCCAAAATTTTAGCATACTTAACTCTTTCAACTTTCACATTTTTTTTAGTGCATTTATCTTGGCCATAATTAATAAAATATTTAAATTTTATTAGAACTTAATTTTTTTAACATTACTTGTAGATTTTATACCATTTATTAATTTTAAATTTTCTAATCTTATATATTATTTTTTAATCTGATTTTTCTTATCCAAAATGCTACATTGATATTATTGGTTCATTTTTCTCTTTGCCATTTGTAATTTGACTAATTATTCTATATTATTTATTTTTTCTATTTTCTTCTTTTATATATTTAATCTTTTAAATTAAAAGTTTTATTCTATATACTTATTTAGAACATAGTTGATGTTGGATTTTTAGATTTTTAAATTGTCTCGTCATTTTTACAACAATAATATTTTGTTTTTTCTCTTATATGTTCTTCTTTGTTTTTTTACAAAAAATTAGTTTTTCAAATTTTTTTTAAATATTTAATTTTAAATTCTTCTCTTTCTTTTAAAAAAATTTTGACACTTCTTTTGTATTTAATTTTAAAATAATATTTCACATATAATTTTTATGTTTTATTATTTTCCTATTTGCTTATATGTGATTGTTATGTCTTCTAGAATAATTCTTTTTTGCTTATATTTCTTCTCAATAGTTGGTAATAGTATGCTTTCTATTACAAATAAGACTTCTATCATATAAACTTTTATTTTTTTTTATTATTGATTTAAATTTCTTTAATATTTTTCTTAGTTTATTATTATATTATTATTATTATTATTATTATTATTATTATTTTTGAGTCACTACTTCAAATCTTTTGTTCTTACTAGACTATACTAAATCACTTCTTTTCTTTCTTGTAATATGATTTTCTTCCATAGACATCTTATAATAACATTGCATCATGGTTTAGATTTATATTTTAAATACTTTATAATTATATCTTAGCATCTTTGAAATTAATATTAGATAAAAATAAGATTAACTTCTTTTTTTATTGATTATTATTATTTTTATTTTAATTATCTTTTAAAATTATATAATTGGTTATAAATATATTTTTATTTTTTTAGTAATTTGAATCTTCTTGCTATTTTCAATTCTTCTTTGTTGTCTTTTTAGTATCTTTAGTTTTTATTTCTTTATTTTTTTATTTTTTATCTTCTTATCAATTAAAATCTTATTTTTAATTTTTTTTTCATTGTTATTATTCTTTGAAATATTTATCATGGTCTTGATTTTATATACTATTCTTCTTTGATGTACTATATTTCTCAAAACTATATATTTTTACATTACTAGAAAGAGAGAAAGTAAGATAAGAATAATAATAATAATAATAATAATAATATAAGATAAAATAGAACTAGAATAGCTATGGTTAAATATAGAGAAAAAAGAGGATATTAAATTAAGACTATATGCAAGAAAATAATTGAGGAGACTACAAATGAACTCATTCTTGCCTCTACATACATTAACTACTAGAAAATTCTTACAAAAGCTTTATAATGCCTAGAAGGCTTATGGTCCAAACATGAGGTTGTAGTTTGCTTCTAATTGGACTTTCTAAAAACGTGAAACTTAAAAGATGAGTTTCAAGAACCACATAATATATCTACATAAATCGAAAGATGTGTTTTGCATAGAAAATTATTTTTGAATGTTTTGAAGAAATATATTTTGTTTATGATAATTTTTTTTCTATTTTTATTTATTTCTACTTACTTAAATAAGATAGACATTCATTGTATATGGTATTTATTACCTTGCTTTTTCTTACTCTTTTTGACTTAAAGTTGATTTTTTTTTTTTTTTTTTTTTTTTTTTTTTATAATTATTTGATTATTTAATCTTTCTATTGTAGATTTTTTTTGATCCAATAATATACTCATGAAGTCGAATCTATGTCTACAAAGCTTGTATAAATATATGATTATTATTTTATTATTTCATATTTCTTTATTATATCTTTTATCTTTATTATATTGTTTCATTTTATTTTGTTGTATTATTGAAAACAATAATCATGATCTAATTATAAAATTTATTAAATATTAAGCAAAATTTTAATCACATTACAAACCAAAATCAAATAACAAGCATTTGTTGAAAATTCATCACTTGGTTCTATCTTCATGTTTCAAATTTATATATTTTTATATATTTTATTAATTTTAATAATCTTTTGATTCATGTCTTATAATTGATCATGCATTTCTATAATTCGAATACTTTTTATTCTTATTAATAATTTATACATCAATATATCTAATATAGAATTTATATTATTTATAAAATATTTTTTTATTATTGGTTCCTATTTACAATATTTTATTTTTCAACATGCCATTTGGATACATATCATTATAAAAACAAAAAGCATACATCCAAGAACATGTTTTTATCTTCAACTTTTAAGCCATCTAAGTTTATTCTTAAAATACTCTATCATGTAGTCGTCATCTTCCTTATTTCTATCTAAATCTCTTCTTTTTTTTCAGCTTTTGTGAAACTCGCTTCCAACATTTCAATCTAAATTTTTCTTCTAGAAAATACATCCATAATTCTTAGCTCATTGATAGGCCATTGTAAGATTTAACAATGTTTTTGCCAACCTCAACAAGGTCATGACATAATTCACCATTGTATCTAGAAAAATGAGTAATAAATGACTTTAAACTTGTATCTTTATTAAGTCCTTTAATTTCTATTATATGAATCTTTGTATAATAATCCTTCATTACTTTCTTATCTTATGTAGTAATAATTAATGTGCTACCATTGCTACTAAATAGGACATCTAATGATACATCATCTATAATTTGACTTTGATATTTTACATCATCAAATGTCAATTTTTTTTTTTTTTTTTTTTTTTTTTTTTTATAAAATAAAAGATTTTAACAATTCTTATGCTTCTTTTAAATCTTTTGGTGTATCTTTTTACTTTGAATTTTTCTAAAAGATTGTAAGAATATTCAAAACTATTGCCATTATATTGAATATTTTTAACAAATCATAAAGTATCATAAATGTGCTTTATATCATTGAATAAATCTTTTATAATTTTAGTCTTATCAATTCCTTTCTTACTAAAAATATATAATACTTTAATTTTTATTATGCAAAGTTGAGAATTATTAACATGCATTGTTTTCTTTCCAACAACTTATTGACATCCAAATGAACATGTATAGACAAAGTACAGTATGTGAATAAATGAACTAAAATGTGTTGTTATAAAACCCTAATAAAATCTTATAATATATATATATATATATATTATAAGAGCTATGTATCTTATAGTTCTATATATATGGTCAATTTTCAAAGTTTTTGGTTTTTTTTTCTAACATCAATCTATAATATCCTAAAACCAATCAATTTAAAAAAAAATTAAATAGTCTTATCTATAATTTTATATTCTATAATATTTACTAAAATATTTTAAGGCTTTAGATTACAATGAAAAATTTACAAGTTATACAAATAATGTGCATCTCTTGCAATTTGATGCATAATATCAATGACAAATATATAAGATATTGGTCTTTTTTCCTCCAACATATTACTTAAGCTTGTTTGCATTAATTCCATGGTCAAATATGACTTTCTATTTTTCTTCATATCAATATTATTTAGAATATCTTTTAAAGCACAAAAATATTTGATAATTTTGAGTTGACTCAAACTTCCTAAAATGCTCACTTTTTTATCAAAATAAACATCAAATACAATATCAATTTCTTTTCTTGGACTTAAAAGTCCTAAATACTTAGATTTGTAAAGTTCTCTAAGAATTCTTCTATTTATGTATTCTATAATTTTTAGACTTGTTATATCAAATGAAACTTCCATAACATCCAATTTTCTACCTCCTATAAAATGTTTGTAAAAGATTCTTTGTTAATTTATTATTTTAAAAGGCTTCTTTTATATTTTTTAATCTTTCATATAAAGTTCTTTTATTAACTTCATCCAAAGTTATAATTTCAAACCTAATTGATGAAGTACTTTTAGTTCATTTTTATAAACAATTTGAAAGTATAATACTTCTAGTATTGCAATAATATTTCAAATTTCCTAATAATTTTCTAAAATTCTTATTATTCTTCAATTAAAGTATAATTGCTTCACACCAATTTTTTTATTTTAATTCTTTATTAGCAAATAAATCTTATAGACTATAAAAAGAG